CTGGAGGTTAGGGGCGCCGCGCGCTCCCGCCGCCCTCTCGCTGCCGCCGCGACCCCGCAGCCCCGCTCCCTGCGCCGCCGCCTCAGTGGGTCCGGCCCGCCCGTCGCCCCGAAGCTGCCGCGGCCACCGACCCCGGCGCGGCCGCCATCTTTGTTTTCGCTGCGCGCTCCCCCTGCCGCCGCCACCGCCCCCTCGGTCTCCCAGTCACGTGACTGTGTGGGGCCAATGGGAGCACCATTCAGGGCTAGACGGTACGTCCGTCAGACCCAATGGGCGCGCAAGGACGCCCAAGGGCCCGCCCCTGCAGAAAGTGGGCAGGAAGGGGGCGGGGCCCAGGGCAACTTGCGGAGGGGCGCGCGCCCGGGGCGGGGAAATCCTGGGGTTGGGGGCGTGCGCGCCGCTTCCGGTCCGTCTAGGGTGCGGCCCACAAGCCGAAGGCCACTCGGATGGTGGGCATTCCTGGGCCCCCCCCCCACGTCGGGCTGTGCTTGCGCCTTTGTCCTCCCAACACTCAGGTCTGCGTGCACGCCGGGGAGAGAAACCCTGCCGGCCACTCCTGTCCCTCTTGTGTGGGACCAGGTGTGCTTCCACAGCACCCAAGCATAGGTACTCCCCGAGAAAGGGCTCCGGACCCCGAATTTAAACCATTAATCCCGGGGCTGGAAACTGAAGAGGGGTCCACTGTGGAAAGTGAGGGTCTTGGAAAATCAGGACTTGCCTTGCACAGGCCTGAGGACAAATGAGTACATGTGAAGTCAGCTCTGAGAGGGAATGTTAATTTCTGGACAGCTGTAATACAGGTATAGTACGGTCCTCCCCTGTCCCCACCCCAGCCGGCAGCCGGTGAAGGTCACTGTCCTGGAGGGCCACCTGCCAGGCTGTACAAGGATATTCAGAGCTCCAGTATGTCACAGGGTCCAGGACTAGGTCTTCTCAGTCTAGGGGCCCTCCTGACAAGGGTGCCATTAGGAGGTCAGGCTGAGTGAGGAGGCCCCAGGGCTAGTTTCAGGACATCCCTTTTTTTACACAAGGAAACCAGTTGCTGCGCTGGAGCTTTAGAAAGCTCAGCGGAGGACCCCTCGATCCCTTTCAAGAATGGGCAGATTCCATATTCCTGCTGTATCCCTAAGGTTTATTGGAGACCACGCCTCTCTCTGGACCCAAAACCACGGCCCGACCAGCATCAGGCCCCAACATGTGCCTGGGGCCCCATCTCCTTCATTCTGGTCTAGGCGAGTGCCCACACTCAGCCAGAGGGACAGTGCCCAGATTCAGGCACCTGAGCACCCTGACCAAGGCATCCATCAGCCTGCAGCAAGCTCCCTTTGGGAGGCAAGAGAGTCCATCCTAGGGGAGGAGGCCCACAGGAACAGGCCTGTGGGAGGGGGAGGTGTAGCCAGGGCAGAAGCCCCACCTTGCTGTCTCCAAACATCACTCCCACTGCAGGCGCTGTGTGTGCAGGGCTTGGTGGTAGGCCCAGCTGCCTGCAGCCAAGGCCCAGCGACAGACGTCCTCCTTTGGTAGCAGCAGCAGTCTCTCTTCCTCTAGCCGGCTCAGGAGGCCTGCAGCACCCAACATTGCGCCCCCCCACATTCCGTAAGTGTTGGCTGTGAAAACGGCCACAATGAGGATCGTTACTGCAACCACCAGCACCACTGCCTGACTAGCCACAGAGCGGCCCTCAGCACCAAGGTGGTCACCGGCCACTGCCAGCACCATCCCTCCTCCCAGGAGCAGGTTGGCAGAGGAGCGGTCCCCATTCACCCAGTGGAAATCGAAGGCCAGAAGGGGCAGGCCAATGACAGTGGCCACCCAGGCTCCAGCAAGACAGTCTTCATCTGTGCCCAGCCCTGGGGCCAGCATGGTGGCAGAGGCCAAGGCCTGGAGCAGGAAGCCAGCAGCGGCCCCTCGACTTGCCTGTCAGCACAAAGATAGGAGGAGGTGTGGGGAAAAAAGAGGCCAGGACCTTCCTTTAAGCAGGGAAAGGTCTGGGGGTCTCATGCAACCCTGGCCTTCAGATTCAACCTCCCGCCACCCTCTCTGTGATCGGGGGAACTGGACCTGACGCAGATCCTTGCAGTTCGGGAGCGGGACACATCCCTGCCCCACCCCGGTGTACTCACCTGGGCAGTGCGCACGGCTGCATGCAGAGACACCACTCCCAGTGCCAGGTGGGACAGGGTCGTGCTCCACTCACTCCAAGGCTTGGGGGCCATGGCACCTCGGGCGGTAGGGAATGTGAAACAGGAAGGGGATTCAAAACTTTGGAGAGGAAGAAAACGCAGAAGCCGGCGACCAGGAGCCCTAAAGGCGACTCTCCTGGACTCCCAGGTTCCAGAGCCCCATTTCTAAGTGTTGGGATAGGCTCATTCGAAACTTTCCGGAGCCCTGGGACGCAGCTGTGGGGAAGAGGAACCTAGTTAGGCCGGGAAAAGAAAGGAGAAAGCGAACCTGACCTGGGTGGGCGTGAGTTCTGGGGCCCTGGAATCCAAGTGGGGGTGCCGGGCCTCGGGGAGAGTCGCGCGCAGGCCCACTCGACCTGGTTCCTGCGCTCCGGGAGGCGCCGTCTTCGGAACCTGGCCTGGAAGGAGCTACAGCGCAGGCCCTCAGCGGCGGCTGAGCTGCGAGGCCCCGACGCAGAGGCGAGCTGTAGGCCGCAGTCGCCCACCCCGCCGCCCGCCGATCGCCCGCCCGCCCGCTCGCTCGCTCGCGGTACGCTGCCGGGTCTCCCCCTTCAGCCCAGCCAACATTGGCCGGACGCGAACCAACGAGAGGAGCGGAGGCTAGAGCGGTGGGAGGGCGGGGCCTGGGGAAGGGGCCGTTCTAGGAGAGCCAGACAAGGTTGTGGAGGCGGAGAGGGTACTAGGAGGAGGGAGCTCTGTCCCACGATTGCGGTATGATACCCAAGTGGTTTGGAGGGATCTGTGGTGAGGGGAGGGGCTGTGAAGGGAAGGGCCAGTAAAAGGGGCGGGTTGAGGGCGGAGCTGTGAAGGGCGTGGGCGGGGCTGAGAGGGGAGTGGGTCTGGGCGGGACTGCGCGGAGTTGGGAGGGAAGAGACTGTCGCAGGGGGCGGGGCTGTGAAGGGGTCTGGGCGGGGCTATGAGGGGGGCTGGGCGGAGCGGGGAGGGAGGGGGGTGTGGCGGGGGGCGGGGCTGTGATAGGGGTCTGGGCAGGGCTGAGATGGGAGGAGGGGTCTGGGTGCAGCTGGGCGGGGCTATGAGGAGCGTGGTAATGTGAGGATGGGCGCTTGGCCTCCTACCAGCTGTGGGCTCTAAGGGGCGAGGGCGATAGGGTCCTCCGCGGAAGGCTGGGAAGGATTCCGAGGAGGTGGTGTGTGGAGGCCGTGAGCGTTCTCAACCTGGGGTCTCAGTGAAGTAGGGGTGGGAGGCGCGGGGCAGGTGTCCGGGTGGGGCCCGGGGGGCTCCTGTTCCTGTCACCCCCTTTCCTCGGGCGCGCGGCCCCCACCCGCGGGAGCGGGGCCGTGGGGGCGGCCTCCCCGAGCATGCGCACCGGTTTTGCAGCGCGCGGGCGCGGAGTCGGGGCGCTGGGACGCGGGGCGGCGCGAAGCGGGGCCCTCTGCCGCCCCGCGCTCCCATGTACGCCTTCTACTCACTGCTCATCTACATCTTCTACAGCCTCTTTCGTAGGGATGGCGGGGCTGCGGCGGCCGGCGACCCCGGGGACCCCGCCCAGGTGAGCGGAGCGGGCCCAGCACGTCCGGCGCCCCCCTTCCTGAGAGCGGGTTTTGCGGGCCCGCGCAGCGCACGTTCCCGGGGCGCTGACGCTGGGGAGGGAGGGCCGTGCGGAGGACCCCGTCTCTGTTGTGCTGTTGGAATCGGAGACCTCAACTCCCTTGGCCCGGGTCTCGGAGGGAGGGGGGCCCCCCCTCAGAGGTCCCGCCGCTCTCTCCCCAGAGTGCGGGTTGCCAGCGCGGGGGTCGCCGCCGCCCCGACCAGCCCCCGGCAGAGCTGTGGACCGAGCTGACAGGCCTGGTCGGTAGGTGCTGTCGGTGCGCCGGGAGCGCTGCGTCCCCGGGGCCAGGAGGGAACCCCGCCGTCCGAGAGAGGAAGGGGTGCCCGTGACCTCTCTGGGAGGGAGGGACCCAGGAGGTGCCTTCTGGTGGTCAGGCCTCCGACACGTGAGCCACAAGCCTCGCTTTCCCGCTACCAGGCCTCACTGGCTGCTCCGAATCTGAGGATGGGCCGGAAGAGGGAGCCGAAGGCCGCCCTACCGAGGTCTCCCTGGAAGAGGCTCTCGTGCGTCTTGCTGAGTTCCTCTCCGTCCAGCTGGGGGCGGAAGAGAGCCTCGGGAATCCTCCTGACCTGACCAAGGTGAGCGGGGTGAGGGTCCTCCGGCTGATCCATACTCTCTCCACAGTCCTTTTGGTCTGCCCATGCGTGTCATCACCTCCGTCTTCTCTGCTCTGGTTCTTCTATCTTCTTTACAGCCGAGCGATGTCCCCCCACTGTTGACGGTGACTGGTCAGCTCTTGGCCCTCCTGGCATGGATTCGGAGCCCCAGGGGAAGGCAGGCCCTGTCCCAGGGGACTCAGCCAGCCTCGGAGGGGCAGTGCCCCACTCCTGCTGGTGCGTAAGGAGTAGTGCATCGTAAAGGGAGTGTGTGGAGGGAGTGAAGCCCACAGAAGCCGAGTGGCCTGCAGTTCGGGGTCCCATGCCCAGCCCTGTTGCCGAGGTGTCCCCTCCTTCAGGTTAGGGGCCTCATCAGTCTTAACTGGCCCACCCCACCCCAGGATCCCCATCTCAAGAAGAGAGCCCTTCCCTTTCACCAAGGGATGAGGCCCAAGGGCAGAACCTTCCGCAGTTGGAGGAGGACCAGAGGGCTTGGCAGCGGCTGGAGCAGCTCATCCTCGGCCAGGTAAGGGGTCCAGAAGGCGACAGGGATGGGGGTGGAGAGATTGGAAGGAGGTGCTCCGTCCTGTGCCCCTCTTTCCTTCCCAGCTAGAGGAGCTGAAGCAGCAACTAGAACTGCAGGAGGAGGAGCTGGGCCGGCTGCGCCTGGGAGTGGTAAGGTTGCGGGGTGGGGCTCCAGGAGGGTGACAAGAGAGGTGGCCCAACTTTCAGGTGAGTCTTGAGGGCTTCTCTCTCCACCAGGGGGCAACAGACTCAGAGAAAAGGGTTCAGCATCTAACCCTGGAGAATGAGGCTCTGAAACAGAGCCTGAGCCTCACTCGGGACCTCCTGCTACACTGGGGCCCTGGCCCCTCCACCAGGGCCCCCCAGGTATCCTCCTTAGCTGGTATCTCTCCTGCAGTCTGGGGCTCCTGAACACCTGGCTACCTGCAACACTGTCCAGGATCTAATGCTGCTGGAAGCCTCTCTGACCTTTCAGGAGCAGAGCCCAGGGTGCAGGGGCAGGGGGTGGACAGGCCCTGGGATGGTCTGTGCAAGGAGACCAGTGCCCATGGGAGAACATCTCTGCCCTGTCCTGTGGCTTTCCACGTGACTGACCCCAGGAGAGCAGAGGGACTTGGGGGAAGGAGTCCCGTATAAAGTTGGGAGACGTGGATTCATGACGAGCTGTGCCTGCTCCTCTCAACTTGACGTCTCCATCCAGCCCAATGGGGCTGCTGGCGTGCACCTCCTTTAGTTCGCTCCTGGCTCCACAGCTGACCTGGCTCCCACCCTTCCTGCAGGAGGAGGCAGAGGCCTTGGCGGAGCTCCAGAGCCGGCTTCAGGAAGCCCAGGACACCACAGAAGCACTTCAAGTCCAGGTGGGCACTGAGCCCAGGGGCCGGGAAGGCTGGGGCACAGGGAGGTGGGGTATCTGAGGCAGGGCCTGGTAAGTGCCCTGTTTCCTCAGTGACAAGGGTGGGGTTGGGCGGGACAGCTGGGGGTGCAGGAGGTGCAGCTGCAGGGCCTTCGGGGGGCCCTTCGGCAGCTCCAGCAGGAGACTGAGCAGAACTGTAGAAGGGAGCTGCAGCAGATGCATGGGCGGCTGGCAGGTAAGGGCTGGGACCAGAGGGCTCGCGGAAAGGCCATGGGGTCAGGGCTCTCCCTCACAACAAACTCTCCCTGCCAGGACTTCGGGCACGGATGGCCAGTCTGCGTCAGGGCTGTGGGGATCTCCGAGGACTGGTCAGCACATTTACCCAGAGCTGTCAATGTTCGCTCAGTGAGGCCCGGGGTCAGGTCAGGACCATCTGCCCCCTCTCCAGAACATGCTCTCTGGGCAGCCTGGTCACTGTTCTTCCGTGGGGAACCCTTATTCTTTCTTTCTACCCTGGGGGGCTGCCTGCTGTAATGGAGGTGGTAGGCTCTGGAATCAGAACAGCTTGTGATCTCACACACCCTAGGTGTGATCTCATTTTTGGGTCTCACTTTTGTCGGTGCAAACTGGGGTGACAGTAAATCCCTCACAGGATTGCCAACCCTGGAGGAGACAGATGTCTTTTTCCCTGATTCTCCTCAGGTTCTGGGTCTCCATCCTGGGCCCACAAATGATGCCCCTAGGGGCCCAGAGCCACTGAAAGTTATATCCTCAGCAGCCCCTCCGCCAAGCTCCTCAACTGCACCCACTTCCTCACATCCCTATTCCACCAGGTGTCCTGGGCCCTGGGGGCACTGTCATCTGGCGGGGCTGGGACTCAGCTCCCTGAGGAGCAGCAGGGGCCCCCAACTGGATGCCCAGGGCGGCTGCTGGAGCTCAAGGGTATGGCAGGCTTGGGAAGTGGAGGAAGTGGGGCCTCCCCATGCTTTAGGGCCTGGGAGGCAGCCCACTGATGTGATCTCCATCCCAGGAAATATCCGTGTGCTGTGTCGGCTGAGGCCAGGGACACCCTCCAGCCTGGTGAGCTCGGAGCCTGGCCCCAGTGGCACGGTCACCACCTGCTATCGAGGGCGCCAGCGTCGCTTCCGCCTGGACTGGGTTTTCTCTCCAGAGGCCAGCCAGGAGGAGGTGATGGTCTGCCCTTGCGTCTGTGCTGTCCTTCCCTCACACTGCCCCCGGATCAGAAGAGGCTCTGGGTTCCCCTTCATCTGCCTTCCCGGTGGCTGAACTCCAGTGAAGGGAAGGGAAGGGAGCAGGTTCTGGGAGGCAGGAATGGGAGCCTAGCTGGGCACCTCCTCTGCGGTTCCAGTGGAAATAAGCCTTCTGGTTTAATGGAAAGGTTAACATTTTAAAAAGTAACTTTTTTACCAGGAAACTAAGGAAAACGATCTTGTCTGAAATGATGGCCACCGCTCGAGAGCTGGCTGCAGAGCGTGGCTAGGGTGGGGACAGTACTGTAACCACCTTCCTCCAGGCTTGCCGGCTGCTTACTCTTTCAGCCGGGGTGGAGTGGGCTGGCTGTGAGGGCAGGCTCCCCTCCATGCCTTGTGGCCAAGGAAGCAGTTGGGGCGCAAGGGCGAGTGGGTGGTTTCCAGCCTCAGTGCTCTCCTGAGAGCCCACTACAGGTCCCGCTCTCCTTCCCTCCTCCCCTTTCCCGCCAGGCCCAGCTCCCCACCTTGCTTCATCCGCTCCCTGTCTCCCTGTCGCTGTCCACATAGACTTTGGCATTAGAACTTGCAAAGCTCAGGAAACAGAGGCGATGGAGTAAGGGAGAGCTAGCAGAGATTCTGAGCTGTGTTGGCCTCACAGGTACACAGTGTGAGGAGTGTCTGGCAGGTGGCCAGGGCTCCTTCCCCCACTTCCTGGAGTACCACAGCTGTTTTTCACTTGTCTATCTCACACACTTCCCCTGGTCTCAGCCTGCATCCCAAACTTCAGCCCTGTGCAGCCTGGCCCGTCTGCTGCCTTCCAGGCGGTCCTCTGACAGGGCCCTCCAATTCCAGTGTGTCTGAATGAAGGAGCCAAAGGCATCTTTCACTGAGCCTGCTCACCTGTGTTCCCCATCGTGCAAGGGCACCACAGCCCCCCATCAGTCACCCTCAGTGCTTCCTTCCGGTCATGGAATCTCAGGGACCTCCCTGGCAAGTCTGGATTCTGCCCTCATTGCTGGCAGGGAACACGTTAAGTAGAACTTGCAGGCTACTCTGTTGGCAGCCACCTTCTGGCCACAAAAGCTGGCCATGTCATTGCTCAAAAGGCTGCTGCTGGGGTCCAGTTGCCCACAGGATATAAGTCCCAGCGCCATTTCCTCCTCAGCCGCCTCTCTGTGTACCCTCACAGGCCAGGGTTCCAGTGATCTTGACGAGCCACCGAGAGCTGGTCACTTGTGCAGCCCTTCTGGGCTCATTCTTTGTGTGCCCGGTGCTGCTCTAGTCCTCTTGTACATGCTCCCCTTGAGCCCTTACGACAGGTGGCACTGTAGTTGTCACCTCACAGAGGGAAAACCTTAGCCCAGAAGGACGATGGATGCTTTGCTTCCCATCATGCCCGGGGTTTGAACCTGGCAGCCAAGCCCAGCATCTGGGCTCTCGGCTGCTGCGCCCCTGGGCCTCCCAGGTGGTCCTCAGAATTCCAGTGCTCCATGTTGCTTGCTCTTTCTTTCTGGCACATCCCTTCCCTTCTCTGCCTGGCAAATTCTTGCAAATGCCTCCTCCAGGGAGCCTCTTCAATTTGTTGGGAGATCCTCCTTTCCACTGTGCCCTCCTAGAGCCGCCCTCCCCAGGGAATCAAGCTTCATTCACACTGTGTCCCGGGTCCTGGGGCTTAGGACCCTTACCCCCTCCGACCCTAGGTCTTCCGGGAGCTGGAGCCAGCTGTGCTGTCCTGCCTCCGAGGCTACAGTGTCTGCATTTTCACCTATGGTCAGACGGGCACGGGGAAGACCTACAGTATGGAGGTGGGAAGGGGAGACCCGGGGTGGCTCCTGGGGCCAGGGGCTGGGATGTGAGTCTGATGCAGCACCCCACCCTGTCCCCAGGGCCCACCTGAGGACCCTGGCATAGCTCCTAGGGCACTGCAGTCACTGTTCCAGGAGATGGGGACTGGAGGGCAACACCGTGTAACTCTCAGCATGGTGGAGATCTACAATGAGGCTGTCAGGTCAGGGCCATGCTACAGCGCCTTGTCCTCACCCTGTGCTCTTCCAGTTACCCGGGGAACCTCAGAAACCAAGCCCTTCCCTTTCTCACCAGGGACCTCCTTGCCCCAGGGCCTCCAGAGCGCCTGGCCGTGAGGCAGGGCCCAGCAGGCCAGGGGGGCATTCAGGTGGCTGGTCTCACCTACTGGGATGTGCCCAACCTGGAGACCCTGCACCAGGTAAGGCTGCCCAGTGGCAACGCACCCCCCCCCCCCCCAGGAGTTCTCCAAGGCCCCGCCTGTGCTCCCACCTAGGGACGCAGACCCTGCAGCAGGTAGGTCCTATTGCTCCGCCCTCCAGATGCTGAGCCTGGGGAGGAGCAACCGGGCCACCGCCGCCACCACCAAGAATCGGCACAGCTCTCGGTCGCATGCTTTGGTCACGCTGACACTACGCACAGCGTCCCCACCTCGCGGGCCAGGCACCGCAGGTACCGAGGCGCGCACCTGAGCCCCGCAGGTGGGGGGGAGGGCCCGCAGCACCCAAGACCAGGGCTCCCTCCACGTCGGGCTTGCTTGCCCTTGCAGGCACCCTGCACCTGGTGGACCTGGCCGGATCCGAGCGTGCCTGGAAGGCGGGGGCGGCCGGCACGTCGCCGGGAGACCAAGATGGCGCCCAGCGTCTGCGGGAGGCCCGGACTATCAATCGCTCACTGCTGGCCCTGGGGGGCGTGATGGCCGCGCTGCGGGCCCGCCGGCCACACGTGCCCTTCCGCGATTCTCAGCTCACGCGCCTTCTGCAGCCTGCGCTGGGACCTGGTGCCACCGCGGTGCTGCTGCTGCAGGTGGGCCTCGGGCAGGCATGGGGTGGTTTGCAAGCCAGGCGCCGCCCGCTCAGGGCCCGCCCATCTGCGCCGCTTCCCCGCAGATTTCCACGCGGCCCGAGGATCTGGGCGAGACTGTGTGCTCGCTGAAGTTCGCCGAGCGAGTGGGCCAAGTGGAGCTGGGGCCAGCCCGGCGCTGCAGGGCCCCGCGCTCTGGGACGCCCTCTTCCCTCAGCACCGACACACCACTCACCGGGACCCCCTGCACTCCCACGCCGTCCCCCGGCAGCCCTCCAAGTCCCGGCCCAGAGAGCGACTCCAGCTCGGCCCTTGGGACCCAAAAGAACATGCCCTCGTAGTCTGGAGTCGCGTCTCTGCCGGCAGAGGCAGCAAAGCTCCTACACCCTCACAACCTCCTTGACCTCTGGGGGCCCACTGCCCCCTCCCCCGGAATTGGTTCCCTTGCCCCATGAGTATTTAGTGTAGGTACATGATTGCCTCTCCCTCCCCCAGGCCCTCAGCTCCCTCCTTATCACCATTTGCTGTTATCGCAGCACACACCAGGGGATGCCAGAACCGTGGGAGGTAGACCCCGCCAAGTGGTTATCCCAAGCACCACCCCATCACCAAAAATCAGACTCGGCATTAAAATGTTGTCTACTCCTTTACTGTTATCTTCCCCACTACCACCACCAAAACCAAGCAGAATCTTGAGTTCCTTTCCCCAAAAAGGTGCTGCTACCTCGTTCCCAGGCACACGAGGGAGAACAGGACTTCAGGCTGGAGCCACCATTTAGGTTCTCCCTCCCCCAGCCCGGAGCCAGGGAGGGGAAGTGTCACATGGTGATGGATGGATGGATGGAAAGGAGGGTAGACCAGCAGAGAAAGTAGGATCAGGAAGGGGCTGCTGCTAGGAAAGCCCCCACTCTTTCCAGTCTTGCCTCTGGGGGTAGGAGAGGCATGACTGACCATCAGGGCCAGGGTGGTGCCTAGCTAGACCACAGCCCTTTGTGGGGCAGTCCAATAAACATCGTGGATTCTCAGCACCGCTGGTGCCTGGTGTTTCAGGGCTGCCGTGGCCACAGACACCTCTTGGACCTCTTGGCCCTCGTTCCCCAACAAGCCAGTGGTGGCAGGAAGGGGTAGGAGAGGAAAGCTCCCCTGCCCTGGGAGCCTCACAGGCTGTACCAGGAGAGTAGCCAGCCTGGGGTGGAGGCAGCTGGATCTCGGGAGTGGCTAACCCACACATCATAGATGCTCTTGTTGGGTGGCACCCCCTGGAAGAGGGCATCGAGATCCCAGAGCAGCCCTGGGGGGCCATGAGTTTCAGGGGCCACCCCCCAGTAGGCTGAGCTGGTTGAAGGTGGGCACTGGGGACAGGGTGTGGGCGGTAGTGGGGCTAAGGGCATTACCACATTGGGAGTGTAGGTGGGCAAGTAAGAGGTGGGCAGCTGCCCCCACAGCGAGGCCCTGTGACTCCCACTGGACAGCCCCCCAGGATCTGGAGAGCCCTGCAGTAAGTGGAGGGGCCAGGCTCTGTGCTCAGGGGAGAGGGGCGAGGGCCTGCTGCTTCCGCCCTGGGAAGTCTCCGCATCTGCTCTCCTGGGCCCAGGAAGGGGGCAGAGGGGCCACAGAGGCCTCTCAGAGGGCAGGGGTGGAGTGGGCATCACCTTCTGCCCACTGTGCCCAGAGCCCGCTGGACCTGGGCTGCTTCGTGGTGCCCCCTCCCCGGGGTCCCCTAACAAAGACTTGATGCTGAAGCCCTCACTGGGTGGTGGCTGGGGACTGGGCAGCCGGTAGGGCCAGCCGTGCAACACGTAGGGGCCCAGGTCCTTGGCGAAGGCTCCCCGCTCGCCCCTGCTCTGCCAGCGCCGGCACAGGGCCGTGTTCTGCAGCCGCAGCGCCTCGGCCGGGATCAGGCTCACGTCGACTGCCCAGAAGTTGCCCTTGGCCTGGGGCTTCGCTGGATCTTTAGGCACCTGGAGGGGGTGGGGAGGCTTGGGTGGGGCCGTCCGACCCCAGACCCTCGGGATTTCCGCCCCAGCTCCGACCCTCGCCCTACCCCACCTTGCGGAAGCATCGGTTGGAGGAGAGATTGTGGCGGATGGAATCCTTCCAGCCCTCGTAGTCTTCCTTGAAGAAGGGGAACGCGGCCTGGACCTGACGGATGATCTGAAACCACCGACCCACCGGCGCGGCAGTGTGAGCCGGGACGCAGAGGGGAGCAGCGCCGCCCCTCCCCCACAGCCGGGCTTAGGGGCGTCGCCCCCCCACCGGAGAACACCTCTGCGCCCGAGCGAAAAAAAGCCCCGAGGGAAGGGTCCTGCCTGAGCACCTCGGCTCTTTCCCCTGGTGCCCAGGCCTGGACTGGCCCCACTGGCTCGGCTGGGTAGGGCCAGGTGGGGATGGAAGCCGGAGTCTGAGCCTAGGAGTAGGTAGGGGACGGGTCTGGCGAAAGGTCCGATTACCGAGTGTGAGGGAAAAAGGGGGTCCCTCTCACCTGGGCCAGCTTCAGCCTGCGGGAGGGTGCGGCCTGGATCACCAAGGCAATCATGGCCAAGTAGGTGTAGGGGGGTTTGTCATGCCGCAGGTATCTCTTCTTCCTTCTCTTGGGGGGCTGGGAGGACGACTCCGACCCAGGAAGCCCCAGGCGTGGGTTGCTGCAGGGTCCCATGCAGGGGGAGACACGCACCGTGGGCAGGGGCCTGGCCCCGTGGAGGCAAGGCAATGGGGCAGTGTGGTGAGGCAAGGCTGGGGGCCTGAGGCCGGCGGGCCTGGCGGGCCAGACCCTTTATCATTCGGATGGAAGGGGGAGGGGAGGGGAGGCAGAGGGAGGGAGAAATCGGCGGTGGGGGAGGGGAGCGTGCAGAGGACTGCCACAATTAGCAGGTTTCAGTTAATCTGGAAGGGAGGGGCGGGGAGGATTCCAGTGGGGGCTGCAGGCGGCCACCCAGGCCTCATTCCTCACCCCTGGGCTGCCTTCAGCACCCCCTACAAGCTGGAGGGAAAAGCCTTTGGAAGGGGCCTGTGACCTACGGTTACTTTATCCTGTCTGGGCTGGGCTTCAGGCTCGCATTTAATAGCTGCGGGAGTTGATTTACCCAAAGTTGACCTGCCAAGAATGGGTGGGGTCTGCCCAGAGTTCAAGGCTGAGCAGCTTCCGGGACCTAGATGGTGGTCAGAGGGCTTCCTGGAGGAAACTTCAGGAACAAAATAGGGACACAGTTAATTCAAGGAATTTTCCTAGGGGGCGCCTGGGTGGCTCAGTTGGTTAAGCGACGGCCTTCCGCTCAGGTCATGATCCTGGAGTCCCGGGATCGAGTCCCGCATCGGGCTCCCTGCTCAGCAGGGAGTCTGCTTCTCCCTCTGACCCTCTTCCCTCTCGTGCTCTCTGTCTCTCATTCTCTCTCTCAAATAAATAAATAAAATCTTAAAAAAAAAAAAAAAAAAAGGAATTTTCCTAGGGGCTGCTACAGGGCCCCAGTGGATTCCCAAGGCCTTGGAGGCCACTTTCCTCCCCTCCCTGGTGCCTGTTAACAGTGGGAGCTGACCAGCTCTCATTATTCATTGTGCACCTCACTGGCTCTAGGTGAGCTGGACCTCCCTGGCCCCAGAGGACTTTTGGGAGGCAGAGTTGCCTCCCTTCTCTTTTGGTCCACTGAGTCCAAAGCTCTGAAGGTTGCTACCCAGGAGGATGCCCCTCGTTCTTACGGGGCACTTGGGCAGTGGTCCTGGGCTTTCGTGTGTGTGGAGGAAGAGGTCTCCTAGCTGGAGGAGTTTACTGGACATCTCTTGGGGCCAGGCCTTGAGGATACAGCTTCATGGGTCATAGTTCCTGCCCAGGGGAGCACGCAAGGACCACCTGGCTTCACCCTGGACAGGAGTGAGAGCACAGGTGTGTCGTGTGAGTACGCAGGAAGGCTTCCCAGGCAGCCACAGGGCCCTGAGGATTAGTCTAGGTAGAAGGAGATGTTCCCCAGGCAGGTGGGGGTTGGCCTGAATGGAGGAGGGGCACCCTAGGGAAGAGAGTGGAGGCTCAGGCTGAGGAGGCCTGAGGGGCCAGAACCCCCTGCTCAGGCCTGGCTATAGTGTCTGAGGGTTTTAGCAGGCACAGGACCTGCCCCAGAAGTGTGGTCCCAGAAAAATGCCCCTGGCAGGCCCTGAGACTCACTGGTCCTCTCAATTCCCAGACCCTGTTCTGTCCCCTCACCTTCTCTCTGGCCATCTGATCTGTCAAGGCCTTTGAGTTAGTCGAGGCCTATGGTCTGTACCATGACCCAAAGCCCAGCCCTGCCCCTTACCAGCAAGTCTGCCCAAGGGGGTATTGGGCCCAGGACACCAGCAGCGGCTGGTGCTGGTATCAAGGCCCCCAGACCCAAGGGAAACCACAGGAGCACACTTTATATAACTCACTTCAAGAATTCAACTTTTCTTGGGTAGCCTCCTCCCACAACATTATAGTCGTAAATGGTTTAAAATCTGCAGCATACAGCAGGTAGCCGACTGGTGTTAAGGTGCTGAGGGTAGGCAGGAGTGCAGGAGGTGCACCGGGGGAGGCAGTGTGGGGCGGAAATGGGTGAGGTCCCGTGGAGTACCACACTGCCCCCTTCACTCTCGGGCGTCCCGTGGTTCCTCTGAACCCCTGCGTCACCCCTTTCCGTTCCCAGAGCTCTAGCTGACGGCGTCCGTGTGTCTCACCGCGCTGTTACTGTGTACGGCTTCCTACGCGCACTCCATTAGCAAAGAGGTCTCCCTCCTTCAAGTGCTCAGTCACCACGTCCCCTCCACGCGTCCTCCCTTGCCTGGTTTGGCGTTCAAGGCTCCTTGAGTCCGCACTATTCCTATGTGACCACTGTCCCCCGCCCTCCTAAACCGCCACCTCGGTTACTTCCCATGGCCCCAAAGCACCGGGTCGTTCCACTTAGGTCTATGTTTTCCCTCCGTCCGTGATGACTCTGCTTTGTCCGGTGAACTCCGACTATTCTTTAGAAGCCCAGGACAAACAGATGGCCGCTCTCCCGAGAGCCCTTTGACTGCCTGCCCGTCCCGCCCCGTCCGCGCCCAGGACGCCGCGGCCACCGGGACGCTCACACAGCACCGCCGGCAGCCGTCCTCTCGGGGAAGGCCCCGCCCCCTGGCCGGTCGGCCCCGCCCCCGGGCTTCCGTGCGGGGCCGCGGCTTCCGGCGTTGGGCCGCGCGGACCGGAAGTGTAGCGTTGCCATGGCGAGAGCCGGGCGCGGGGCCCGCCCCCGCGGCGCCCAGAGGAGCGCGGGGCCGACCGAGCGGTGGATCGCGTCTGGTCCGCTGCGCTGCTGCGCTGCTGCGCTGTGCGCGAGGCGGAAGGTGAGGCGCGGACTTCCGGGGCCTGCGGCGGGAGAGGAGGCCGGCGGAGGAGGGAGCGGCGGCGGGGGGCGCGGGGGGCGCGGGGGGCGCGGAGCAGAGCGGGGCCTCCTCGGGCGCCCTGCCCGGCCGGCCCTCGGGGAGGCGGGCGCCGGGGCGCGAGTCTCCGCAGGCCCCTCCTGGGCGCAGGGTGCCACGGGTCAGGAGCGGCTTCTCGGGCGGCAGCCTGTGAACGGAAGGCCGCCTGTGGGGCTTTTCACCTTGATCCGTGCGTGGAGTCGTTTTCAGTTTTGCAAACCTGTTGGTCAGGTGGGCAGCGCCAGACGTCTCCGCGTTTGCAGCCGGGAGATTCGGGCGGGCGGAGAAAGGACATGCCCAGGCTTTGTGCGGGCTTTGGAGCGAGGCCAGACGAGAAACTGGAGCCTCTCCGGGGTTCCGGTGACCTCCCGGGTGAGGATCCTGGGCGCCACCTCGCAGACCGGGGTCGAAGTGAGAAGCACCGGCGTGTCCCAGTGCCCGCACCCGCGCTCCAGGCCTGTGGGGAGGATCCGGGACTGGTTGCGGCCCCTCAAGGCCCTGGAGCAGGGGCTGAGGCGGCCGCGGGATTAATCGCCGTTAAGCTCCAGGCCGAGGCATGTATGGAGTCACTCCAGGTGGAGGGACGCCGGAGGAAGGCTAGCCCTCCTCAGAGCCCTGGCCTTTCCTCCTGGATCTTTGACTTGGGGTGGAGCTGGCTGTGGGAGCACCACACTGCTCTTCTCAGGCCCTGTCTGGGCCCAGCAGTGAGCCCTCATGGGTGTCTTTGCTGCCCCGTGTTCTCCCCGGGCGGGGTTGGGGTTGTCCTGTATCCCAGAAGTGTAAAGAGGCCTCTGCTCCTGGCTGTGCTGCCCAGTTCCCTTCAGGGGTGGTGAGGAGAGCCCCAACCCGGGGCCCCGGGGCCAAGTTCTCTAAGGGGCTAGTGGCTGCCTGGAGGAGACTGCGCAAAGGCTAGCTCCGGGCTCCTCATTGTGATGGGTGTGTCCCCCTTTCCCCGCTCCCCCAGCTCTTGATCAAAGCTGGGATGGGGAAGCTTTAGAAGGTGCTTCCTTCCTTCCCTCCCTGTGCATGGGCTGGATTTCCTCCCTGTTGGCTGGAGCCTCCTCCCCGGGCTCTGCTGTTTGGTCCTAGCCTCCTCTCTCACCTGCTTGGGGTGTGCCTGGACTTTGGTCTCCCCTGACAGCAAAGGGCTGGCAGGCACCTGGGAAGAGGGTTCCTAATTCTGTGGACTCAACATTGGGATCTGTGTTCTAGGGATTTCTGTCTTTGGTTTCTATCAGCAGCCTGTGTCCATTCTGTGCAGTTTTGGTACTTCAATGTGAGGTGAACCCCCTGACCTCCGGTGACCTAACACACCAAACCCAGGCGGGTATCTGGCTGGGTGGACTTTGATGGCAATGGTAGCAATTCGTGTGTTCCCACTCTTCCTGGTCATCGGAAGACACGCAAGATTCGCAGTTAATGTTGTTGGCTTCTTAGGAGGAAACATCACAACTATCACAATCACTTCCAAGAGTGCCCCGAGAGCACGTGTCCTGAACACGCTGTGAAGGCGCACACACGAGCTGTGTCTTTCCCCAGTGTCCGCTTTATTCAGTCAGAAAGCAAGGTTAATAGAAAGCAGGTTTAGGATTCCAGACTCAGTGATATTTCACCATGTGATTAACTTGGCTTCTTAATACGGCACAGAACGAAGATTACAAGGGGGTAGGGAGTTCGCGAACCAAACACGAAGTCGGTCTGTGGGCGGCGGCTGAGATGAGGTCTCAGGTCCGGGTCAGCTCTCGGCACTTACTGCTCCTTATGTTCAAGCAGGGAAGCATGTCAGTCCTGTTGGGAGATCAACCGGGCAGAGCCTTGGGCAGCAACTGCCTTTCTGAAGTGGTCAGACTGAGGCGGTCTGTCTGTCTAGAGGCGTCAGGTCCGAAGAGACTGATAGTTTGCTGCAAAAATCCTCCCCTTTTAAAGGGATCTAACGGGTCTTGGGCCCTGCAGACGTCCTCTGCTTCTGCTGGTTATCAGTGCTGGGAGGTGAGCTGATGCTGGACGTGGCAGGATCTCGTGGCCGTGGTACCTTCACCTGCTGTGTCACTGCTTGACACAGCCTCCCACTCTAGGACCTCTGCACGGTCTACTCGTTAGCCAAAGCCGGACATCTGGGAGGCTCTTCCCTCAGCTCCAGGCTCTCTGAGAACTTCATCCTAAATACCCTTGATTCTGGCCCTTCCTGTCCACCCTTCCCACCAAATAAATAACCTGCCTCTGTGGCGTTACCCTCGGATTGTAGTACTTTCCCCTGACTAGTCTTGGCTCTGTCTTAGCCCCTCGCCGCCGTGCTTCTCACCTTAGTGTGACTGATCTGAAATGCAAATCTAATTCCTGTCCTTTCCTTCTTGAAATACTTCCTCACAGACTTCCGAGTAACACTCACCTGCCTCTACCCACTAGCCACCACCCTCTGTACCCCTCACCCGCCCCCCGAGCACTTTTCTATGTGTGTGTCGTGCGGCCACCACACTGAACTGGTGTGGTGGTGGAAGGGAGAGAGCAGACCTCCCCCCCACCCCTTCCAAGCTCTGTAGCCTTGGGCAGGGCTTCATCAGCACTACACGCTGAGAGGAGGACAGAGATACGGGGCCGTTAGCTCTACAGATGCCCAGGGGCGAGAGTCCTACAGAGCAGGAGCTCAACTGCTAGGAACGCTGTGAGGGCAGTTACGATAAGGTTTGATGGTGGATGTTGGATTCTGGGCTGTGTGCTTTCTTGGCAGCTGTGACGAACCCAAAGAGCAAACGGATTTGTACTGGCCGAGGGGCGCCTGGTTGCTGAGGCCACGGGGATGGAGCCTGCAGACAAGTCTTCACAGAAGTTTCACTGTGAAGGAGAGGAGTGTGTAGGGGAGTGGAGGGTTGGAGTTGGTTTGAATGAGGAGGTCCATGGAGATCCAGAAAGATCATGGAGATTGTGGTCTTGCGCAGAGAAGTGACTGACATCTTCAAGATCCCGGGCTGATCGAAGGGGGCTGGGCTGAAGAGTGGAGGTGGGGGCGTTGGGTGGTTGTACTGTGAAGTGGCTCGAAGAGCCCCGTGCTCAGCCCTGTCTTGCCAGGCCAGGATTCCCTGAGGCCTGGGTCATTCTTTGATGTGACCATTGTGGTTTTGTTGATTTTGGGTGATACATTCTGTTAGCTTCACACCCCGGCCCTCCCCCCTCCCCCAAAACCTTTTCCTGTTTTGGAAGGAAGGGAGGGAGGATGGTGTGGATGCAAGCGACCCTTTGGGAGCCTCCAGGCCTCAGATGAAGGGTCAGTTTCCTGCTGAGCCCTCCGACTGTCCAGTAGGTTTGAATGTCCCTCCCTGTGCAACCGGGCACAGGGCAGAGCCTTGCCATTGCTGATGGACCTCCCATTTTTCCAGTCCTGACTTACCTGTAGGCACAACTGAGTGATGGTCTTTTTCATCAGACCAGCTTACCCACAAGCTCAGAGGCTCCTGGGTTACAGTTTATACTAGCCCCCCAGTGCCAGGAACCCAGTTATTGAGCACTTCCTACAAGTCATGCACTAGGCTCAGCTCTGAGGACACAGCAGGACACAGTAAATGGCATGTCAAAAACTAGAACAGTGTGGGGACCCTGGGTAGCTCTGTCTGTTAAGCAGCAGACTCTTGATTTTGGCTCAGGTCCTGATCTCAGGGTGGTGAGATCAAGCTCTGCATCAGGCTCCATGAGCAGCGAGGATTCTGCTTGAGATTCTCTCTCTCCCCCTCCCCCCCACGCAGGTGTGCGTGTGCACGTGCGCGCTCTCTCTCTCAAGTAAATAAAATCTTTAAAAAACAATTAGAACAGGGTGAAAAGATACGAGAGTGACAAGGTAACCACAGAAGATCTCTAAGGAGGTAATATTTAAATTGTGATCTGAGCTACAGAAAAGGAGTGAGCTATCCTAAGATCCATGGAAGAACTTTCCAGACACAAGGAACAGCTAATGCAAAGCGGGAGTGATGATGAAAATGATAGCATCAAATAAACATGCGATAGACCAGGGGTTGGCAGGGTTTTTTTCCTGTGAAAAGCTGCATAGTGGGGCACCTGGGTGGCTCAGTTGGTTAAGTGTCTGCCTTTGGCTTAGGTCATGATCTCAGGGTCCTGGGATCGAGTCCTGCCTCAGGGAGCCTGCTTCTCCCTCTCCCTCTGCCCCCCCCAGGCGCCCCCCCGCCCGCTCGTGTTGTCTCTCTCTCTCTCTCTCTCTCTCTCTCTCTCGATCTCTGTCAAATAAGTAAATCTAAAAAAAAAATGTACAAGCCATTCTCAGCTCATGGGCCATACAAAACCAGATGGCAGGCAGTAGTAGTATGCCAACCCCAGTGCTAGATACCAGAAATACTGTTGTTAACTCGTTGAATCCTCCTAAGGACCTTATAAAGAAAGTATGATTATCATTCCATTTACAGATAAGGGAACTGAGGGAAAGAGGTCAGGAGACTTGACCAATCTCCTCAGCTCCCTTCCATTTCAAACCCAAGTCTGGTTCCAAGCTCAGCTCCCAGCCACTGTGGTACCTGGAGCTGGAGGCTTCCAAGGTGTAGAAGCAGGAAGCAGGCCAGTGTCGAGTGGTCAGTGGAGAGGAGGTATGCAAGGGGATGGCAAGGTGAGCAGGGGCCAGGCCATGCAAGCTCTGGAGGCCAGGATAAAACTTCTGGAATGTGTACTTTTTTTTACACCAAACT